CTGCTATACTCTTTTCCGCTTGCTTAGGCAACTGTATCAAATCCAGAGCATGCTGAGGCGTCTTTGTATAAACAACAGAAAAAAGCGACCTGCCAATAGAACTATGAACTGCATTATTATAAGTAAACTCTGCCTATGATAAAGCAACATCCTATTGCTTCGGCTTATCTCCACAAATGCTTCGAATCAAGTTTCCCAGAGTTCTATTAACCACCTATGTTTGCCCATCAGTCTGCGAGTGAGCCGTGCTACTGAAATTCAAAGATGAATCAAACAGCTTCCATAAAGTCCGCCAAAAATGCCCGAGAAATTTGTTATCCCTATCTGAGATAATAGACTTAGGCATACCATGCAAACGAACCACTTCCTTAAAGAATAATCTAGCCACACTTACTGCATCAGAAGTCTTCCTGTAAGGAATGAAGTGCGCCATCTTGGAAAATCTGTCAACCACAACGAAAACAGAATCCACGCCTCTTTGTGTCCGTGGTAAACCAAGCACAAAATCTATGCACATATCTTCCTATATATTGTCAGGAACAAGTAAAGGCATATACAGACTTGTATTATTAGATTGCCCCTTAGCAGTTTGGCAAACATAACATTTTTGTACGTACCTGCTGACATCTTTACGCAACTAGGGCCAGTAAAATCGCTCCCGGACTGCAGCAATAGTTTTATCATGATCCAGATGTGCAGCTAGTCCACTATCATGTAAATCCCGAATTACCTTCTCTCGTAAGATGTCCGAGGAAGGCGAAGCTGATTGCCACGCATCAGATAACCATCCTGTACATAAAATTTTTACACTGGTTGACCAGCAGCACATGACTCCCAAATTTGCCCAAAGTCATCATCATTTGTATAACGGTCTTTTAGCTGCTCGAACCCCAAGATATCTTGGCTTAATGTAATCAACAAGCCAGCTCTCCTACTCAATGCATTTGCTACAACATTATGCACACCTAACTTGTGCTGTAATCTGAAAGGAAATTTTTGCAAAAATTGACACCATCGCGCATATATATCTTTGCTAATCCTCTTTTGACTATTTAGATACTTCAAAGCTTCATGATCAGAATAAAGGACGAATTCTTTCCCAATCAGATAATGCTCCCAAGTCTTCAAAGCTCTTACGACGAAATAGAATTCTTTATCATAAGTTCTTCATTTCTGCCTTGCGTCGCTAAGCTTCTCACTAAAATAGCAAATTGGTCTACGCTCTTGAGATAAAACAGCTCCTATACCCACTCCACTGGCATCACAGTCCACTTCAAACAGTTTATCAAAATCAGGTAAGGCAAGAACAGGTGCAATACATAACTTCTCCTTCAAAATAGCAAAACTATTCTCGGCTTCCTCTCCCCATAGAAATTTGCCTTTCTTCATACATTCAGTAATTGGGGCTGCGATAGTACTGGAATTCTTAATAAATCGCCGATAGAAAGTAACCAACCCATGAAAACTCCTAACGTCAGAAACTCTTTTAGGAGTCGGCCACTCTCTGATTGCTATTACCTTCGCCTCATCTACCTCTATTCCTTCAGCAGTAATAATAAACCCCAAGAATAACAACTTATTAGTTAAAAAACTGCACTTCTCAAGATTAACATATAGCTTATTAATCTGCAAAGCTATCAACACCTCCCTTAAGTGCATTGGATGATCCTCCTCAATCTTACTATAAATCAGGATATCATCAAAATAAACTACAACAAATTTTCCAATAAAAGATTTTAAAACCTGATTCATAAGTCTCATGAAAGTACTTGGAGCATTGGAAAGTCCGAACGGCATCACCAACCATTCGTACAACCCCTCCTTTGTTTTGAAAGATGTCTTCCACTCGTCTCCGGGTCGAATCCGAATCTGATGGTACCCATTCTTCAAATCCAGCTTCAAGAACCACTTAGCACCGTGCAACCTATCCAGCATGTCATCCAATCTCAGAATTGGAAACTTGTAGCCTACGGTTATTTTGTTGATGGCTCTGCTGTCTACACACATCCTCCAACTCCCATCTTTCTTAGGAGTTAGCAAAGCCGGAACAGCACATGGGTTCATGCTATTCTGAATGTGCCCCTTTCGCAACAACTCATCTACCTTCTCTTTCAGAATCTCACTCTCCTTAGGACTCATCCTGTAGTGCGGTAAATTTGGCAGACTAGCACCAGGAATTAAGTCTATATGGTGCTGAATATCACATATAGGCGGCAACCCATATGGAATCTCCACATGCATCAGCTCACTAAACTCCTTCAATAAAGGTTTAACTGATTCGGGCTACTACTCCACTTGTAATTCAGCCTCAGTCTCGATTGCTTGTTTCACGACTAGCACGTGAATCTGTTGGGTCTCCTTAACCTCAGCTTCAAATTTCCTTGTAAAGATAAGGAAATTATTTTCAGAAGCTTGTTTTCCTTTGTTCTTCAGTGGTAGCAATGTATATTTCGCTCCATCCTTCACAAGGTTATACTGATTGCTCCTTTCAGAATGCTGAACATCTACATCAAATTGCCACGGCCTCCCAAACAACACATGACATATATCCATGTCTACCACATCACAATACAGCTCATCATGATATTTTCCAATGGAGAATGGAATTTTACGTTGCTCAGTTACCTGAATACTTTCCGCTCCAGATTTAATCCGTCCTAACATATAGGGATTACGATGCTTCTCCACGGGTATTCCCAGCTTCTTCATTACCTCCTTCCCAATGATATTCTTCATGCTTCCACTATCAATAACCACAGCAAAGATCTTTCCCAGAATGGTGCACCTGGTTCGGAATAACTGATGGCGCTGCAAATCATCTTCCTGTTTTGGGGCCAACATCATCCTGCGCACCACACAGTTTACTTGCTCATCTTCTTCATCTTCAAAATCATCGTCCTCACCATCTGACTCACAACAATATCCATCTTCCTCCTCTTCTCTCGCTGTCACGTTTACGGTCTTTCTCTAAGGGCATTCATTAGATCGATGCCCAAGCTGATTACACCTGTAACACTTTATCGCGGCTGGTTTAGCATAAGGGTTAGGGTTTGCAGTTTTCTATGCTTGCGTTCCCTTATCCCTCGGCTCATTCATAGGACGCTTTTCTATCGACTTATCTTCTTGACTTCGCTCCAAATTATAGCGATTGTTGAAGCCGCTCCTCTCTATCGAACTACTACCTCGATAATTTTTGTAATCTCTTTTCCCCCTATCTTGCTGCATCAATTCTGCCTTCATCGCCATATTCTTGGCTTCAGTTAAATTTCGCAGAAACTGCACTCCAATTTTATCTCGAATGAAAAGTTTCAACCCATCGAGATATCTGGCCACCTGCTGTCCCTCCATCTCCGATAGATTATTCCGCTCCGCCAATCTCATAAATTCGGCCGTATACTCATGTATAGTCCGATTGCCCTACTGGCAATGTTGGTACTGTTGGAACATAATCTGCTCATAGTCGGGTGGAAGGAACTCCTGTTTCAGCATCCTCCTCATTCTAGCCCAAGTTCGAACTCTCTCTTTCCCTTCTTGCTCCCTATTATTCTACAATCTCTCCCACCATACAGACGCACACCCTTTTAATCTACAGGCCACTAATCACACCCTTTTCTTACCAGGGGTCTCCATATAATCGAAAAATCTATTTATATCAGCAATCCAATCCAGAAATTCTTCTATGCCCAGATTACCATTAAAATAAGAAATATCGACTTTCAATTAAATTTGTTACCTTCACGATCATCGTAGCGCCGTCGCCCATCTCTCCTATCGTATCTTCTTTGAAATCCTACGTGATGATTTCTGCCACCATAATCAGCACGTTCCTCATCAAAAAATTCGGTTTCTTCTTCTTCTGAACTCTCTGAAAACAGAGGATTATTCTGCCTGCGGACAAGAACAGGCCTATCAACAGGATCACCGCAAGCAAGATCTGCACCCGGCCTTCTGTCGTTCCGCCGATTTCGGTTCACATCAACGCCGAGACCTTCAAATCGTTCTATTAACTCATCAAATCGTTCTTCGAAACGACGAAGACTTTGATCGAATCGTTGATCCAAGCGTTCCATTAAACGCTGCTACAATTATTGCAGCGCGTCGTCCCCAAGGGTTGGGGCTCCAGTCTCCTGATCATCATCACGAAGACCACCGCCAATCGCCATAGGCTCTGATACCACCTGATGCAGCGTTCAGCAATAATTCAAGCAAAACCTTGCTTAGAGAGAAAAATCTCGAATTTCAGTTCAGTATTGATAATAATGTTTTGTCCTAAAAGAAAACCCTTAAACAAGCTTATATATCCCCAAACCTAACCCTCCTAAGATTATAAAGCGTCAAATATCAAAATTACAAAACTGCCCCTAAAAAAATAACTTAGAAAAAAAAATTAAAATAATGAAAAAACCATCGAAACGATCCCGATTCGCTAAAATCCATCATAGGTCACAGCCATAAACAGTGAGTTGTGTTCAGAACACCATTTCACTTCAACAGACCAAATTTGAGCTCGATCCGATGTCGTCGACCGGGTCCACCAGTTCTAGTCGCATCACCGTTTTGCTTGTCCAATTGGACTTTTGCTTGTCCAATTGATCCAGAAACGCACCACTAATAGATTCCGCATTATTTATGTTCTTAGGCTTTTTCATCGATCAAATTCTGACGAAACATCTTTTTGACACGCTCAATGAGACAAGTGTGGTTGATTTGAGAAAGAACAATGCCAAAAAAAAGGAATCATCCATAGTCAAATCATGCTGCAGGCAACAACCCCAATGATACGACTACGCAGTTCGAGACCTCAACCGCTCCAGCAACAGAGTTAAGCCAAGGGGACAACATCGAAATCCCGCAGCACTTTATGGAAGAGCAGACGAGGGAATTAGTACCAAACCTTACTTTGGTAGCTACCATGAAGAAGCCGTTCGAGGAACAGCAAAATAAGATGATGAATCACATAGCAAGACATATTTTTTATGCGATTAGGTCGATGGTCGTCAATGCCAACGATCAATGATGTCATCTTCGGGCCCGAGACATTCAATCAATCCATACCAATTCAACCAAACACGGCGGCTTCCAGGTATGTTCAACCAACTCTTAATGAATTGAACAGCGGAAATAATTTAGTGATCCCACCACCAGTGAAGAGTTTACAAAGGGCATAAAAATCCCATCTACCCTGAACCTAGGGGGTAGGAAGGTCAAGTTTATCGCCTAATCCACCCTAAACTCATGGGACAGGAAGGGTGTCAACTTTCGAAACCTGATCAAGTGGCTGAACTCGTATTACAACAATTAGATGCCAACAAAGGTCTTAAAGTAACATAAGTCACATGAATAGCTTAAAGTGGATTAAATGACTGCTATACATTTGCATAGATTGGGTTAAATAAGGATGTATTTTAGTAGGTGGAGTTGAGTTGGGTCGAGGTCTCTAAAATTGTATTGCATTAAAATGGATTAATTTGAATCGGACCTTTTTCGATTCGATTCACCCATTTAACGAGTCTACCCATTAGTTACTTGTTTAAGGCTCGCGAACTTAATTTAAGACCATTTTTACAACTACTACATGGAACGTCAAATCAAATTGATTACCGGTGCCTCTTTTGCAGTCGAGAAATTTCGAAGATAGAACAATGCACCGTTTATTGTGTCGTCCAATAGTCAAGATTTGTCGACTACTAGAACCTTTTCTCTCAATGTGTCGTCCAATGCCCACTTGTGAATAGGTCATTTGCAGCAGAGAGAGTGATTGAAATGCACCCACCCCATAACAACAACCGAAGACAATTCAACCCTTTTGAAGAGATGGACATGACAATGCACAACCTTTCTTTTTGTGCACCTGTTCCCGTCGTGGTTGCTATCGATAATGTTTCCGTCATGGTTTCTAGTTTTTTCTTTTTGGTCGAAAAGAGCGATTTATTTCGTTGGTGGGCTCTTTGTCAATCATGAAATTCTCTTTATGCAGAAGAAAAGTGACCCATACTTTTGATAAAGTGCTGAATAATTTTATAATTTGCACACCTTAGGTTCCTAAATTAATAGAGTAATCTTGCATTCGCACGATAGTCATGTAGCGGTCCCAATGTCTATTATGTTAAAGTACATGAACGAAATACGGGCAGGTGCATTGCACGGGCAAATGACTGGTACATTTAACGTTCATATAGACCTTTCTGATAGAACTCATGGTAAAATCACTTTGAATCATTATGTTTATTAACTATAACGTATTGCGTCATTCTAATTTTAATAAACTTTTGGCATTCTTAAAATATTGCTCGTGATGCGGTTATTTGTCAAGGGATGAGAAAAACATTGCAGATAAAGGAAGGAACAAATCGTCAGACCTAACCAATTTTATATTCGTCTCGTCTTGACAAAAAGTCACAAGTAGCATTTGGTGTACATTGATTCATAATGCATTAAATAAAATCGATCTAGTGACTTGACAAAAAGTCACGAGTAATATTTGGTGTCCATCAATTCATAATTCATTAAATATAATCGATCTAGTGACATGACAAATTGTAAGATGATATAAACAGAAAGCAACTTAATTCAAGCATCCATAAAAGAATTTTCGTCTTCAATCAACGATCTTCATAAAAAGTGCTACGAAAAACAAGCGATTGAATAATAGAATAAACAAAATTAGAAAATAAATTGGATTCGGATTTATATTATTTGGTCAGGGGGGACTTACTCAACGGGGAGAGCAGTATAAGATTCCACTATAAATCAAATGATATATTGGAGATTACAACCACCACTACAAAAAAACAAGGGTTTAGCCACGGAAATTTGCGACGAATTATTTTTCGTGGCTAATTGCGACGCAATTTGCGACGAATATATTTTCCGTCGCAAATTAGCCACGAAAAATAATTCGTCGCAAATTTCCGACGAATTTTGCGACGAAAAAAAATTCGTGGCTAATTTGCGACGGAATCTGCCACGGATTAAAAATCGTCGCAAATTTGCGACGAAATTTACAGCGAAAAAAAATTCGTGGAAAATTTGCTACGGATTTTCCCACGAAAAAAATTCATGGCTAATTTGCGACGGAATTTGCCACGAAAAATAATTCGTGGCTAATTTGCGACGGAATTTGCCACGAAAAAAAATTAGTGGCTAATTTGCGACGAAATTGCCGACGAATGTTTTTCCGTTTCTAATTTGCGACGAAAAATAAATGCCGTCGCTAATTTGCGATTAAATTTACCACGAAAAAAATTCGTGGTTATTTTATGACGGAATTAGCGATGAATTGTTATTCGTCGCTAATTTTCCTCTACTTGTAGACCCAATTTCTCTCTCTCTGCTAATTCCTCTTATCCCTATTAGCTGTTCTCCCTTCCTCTCTCTATTCGCTGTTATCCCTTCCTCTCGATAAATCTCTCCGCACGCGCAAAAATCTATCTCGGTGAACCTTTTCTACTGGTAAGTGGTGTGATTAATTTGGGCAAAACTATTTTTAAATTTTTGTTATTTTATTGAGTTTTTTTTTCTCTTTTTTTTTTCTGACTTCGTCGCCAGTCGCCGGTCCGGCAACCGCGATCGGCGACGGCGGCCGGCGAGGCTCGCCGGCCATGGGCGGGGCCTGGACCTCGCCCAGATCCGGGCGAGGCCGAGCGGCCTCGCCATGGGGCCGGCTTGGACCTCGCGGCGAGGTCCGGCGGCGGCCATGGCTCTCGTCCTCGCCGCGAGGTCGAGCGGCGGCCATGGCCGCTCGACCTCGGCGCCCGGATCCGGGCGGCGAGGTCGAGCTTGGGCCTCGGCGCCCGGATCCGGGCGCCGAGGTCGAGCTTGGGCCTCGCCATGGCCGCCGAACCTCGCGGCGGCCATGGCCGCCAGCTCGACCTCGCCGCCAGCGATCGTGAGGCCGAGGTCGCGCCATGGCCGCCGCTCGACCTCGCGGTGAGGTCGAGCGGCCATGGCCGGCGGCCGGACCTCGCCGCGAGGTCGAGCGGCCATGGCCCGGCGCTGGACCTCGCGGCGAGGTCGAGCGGCCATGGCCGCGCTGGACCTCGCGGCGAGGTCGAGCGGCCATGGCCGCCGCTGGACCTCGCGGCGAGGAGGTCGAGCGGCGGCCGCTGGACCTCGCCGCGAGGTCCAGATCTGGCCGGCGAGGTCCAGATCTGGCCATGGCCGGCGAGGTCCAACTCGCCGGCCGGTCGCCGGACCGGCGACCGGAGAAAAAAAATGAAGGAAAAAAAAATTTGGGAAAAAAATTCGAAAAAAAAATTATTAAAAAAAATTGGGGAAAAAAAATTATTATAAAAAAGATAAAATCTGAAGTCAATTTTTTTTTGTAGGTACGTATTCGTTTGAAAGTCTCGCGGATGAAGTGAACGTTGCAATTCTCATCAAATTGAGCACTTTGTACTACAAAGATTTCAGTCAAATACTTGGGTAAGTCAATTGTTTTAATTTTTTCAATTTCAAAATAATTGTTTAGGCAAAAATAAAATTTTAATTTTTAGAATTTTATGGTTTTAATATCGAAAATTTTTTGGCATTAATATTTTACGAGATTTTGTTTTTTTTTATATAGACAATGCAAAGAGACAGGGCTTGGATGTATAATAAGAACTTACCTGGACGTCGAGGATTGACCGATGAGTTTCGTACTGGGTTGGAACTATTTTTGGACTTTGCTAGTAGTAAATATGAGTTGATGGATGGAAATAAGTTAAGGTGTCCGTGTAGAAAGTGCAGTAATGGTAAATTTCATGTATGTGATACAGTTAGAGAACATCTTTGTAGATTTAGGTTTACTCCGAACTACTATAATTGGACTTGTCATGGTGAACCATTTATATCTGATGAAGGATATCGAATAAGTAACTAATTTTCAGTTAAGGAAGAATGTAGCTATTATGACCAAATGAACCCATACCAGAGGATGGTGATTGATGCGGCTGGTCATAATTCAGATCCAAACCACGCAAGTACTAGTTTTACTCCAAGACTTGAACAATTTGAAGAGATAGGAGTAACAGGTTTTGATGAGAATGTGTGTAATGAAACGTTTCCATCTAATCAGTTCTGGGAAGTGTTGAAAGCAGCAGATGAACCTTTATGGGCAGGTTGTGACAATCATACTCAGTTATCAGCGACAGCAAGATTGTTAAATATCAAGGCAGAGCATAATGTGTCTGAGAATTGCTTTAACTCTTTTGTTGAAGTAATGCGAGAAGCAATGCCTCCTGATAACATAATGCCAAGTGATTTTTACGATATGAAGAAGTTAGTGGATAACTTAGGTCTTCCAGTTGAAAGGATTGATGTATGTAGTAGGGGTTGTATGTTATATTGGAGAGATGATGAAAATGCAGAATCTTGCAAATTCTGTAGCCAACCTAGATACAAGATTAACAGGAACAGGAGGCAAGGTCGTAATCAGAAGCGTAGACCATGCAAGCAAATGTTTTATCTGCCCTTAATCCCCAGATTACAAAGGCTTTATGCGTCTCAAGCCACTGCTGAACACATGACTTGGCATGCAAATCATGAAACAGAAGAGGGTCTAATGTGTCATCCTTCAAATGCAGAGGCATGGAAACATTTTGATAGAACATACCCTGAATTTGCGATAGAGCCTCGAAATATTAGGTTAGGTCTCTGTGCTGATGGATTTGCCCCATTTGGAAAATCAGGGAAAAGTTATTCATGTTGGCCAGTTATCTTAACTCCGTACAATCTTCCACCCGGTATGTGCATGAAGACACCTTATATGTTTTTGACATTGATCGTGACCGGGCCGCAAAATCCGAAAAAGTTGATAGATGTTTATATGCAACCATTGATTGAAGAGTTACAACGGCTATGGAATGAAGGTGTCGTTACGTATGATGTTTCTACTAATCAAACATTTGTAATGAAGGCTGCTCTTCTTTGGACGATAAATGACTTTCCAGCTTATGGAATGTTATCTGGATGGAGTACAGCTGGGATCTTAGGATGTCCGATATGTTTGGAGATGTCGAAGTCATTCAGATTAAGACATGGTAAGAAGCCTTGCTATTTTGACTGTCACAGACAATTTTTGCCGATGAATCATACATTCAGAAGGAATAAAAAAGAGTTCATCAAGAATAGGATTGAAAGAACTCCTCCACCATTGAGGTTGACTGGTGATCAAATATGGGAGCGAGTGCAGGACTTTCCAACTGTTGTTGAAAACCCTCATGGCACAACTATTGCGTACGGAAGTGCACATAAGTGGACTAAACGCAGTATATTTTGGGATCTACCATATTGGAAAGCTCATCTTATTCATCATAATCTTGACGTTATGCACATTGAAAAGAATGTTTTCGACAATGTCATAAATACTGTGATGGATGTCACGGGAAAAACAAAAGACAACTTAAATGCAAGAAAAGATATGAGAGATATTTGTGATCGGCCAACATTAGATGTGGATGCAAGCAGCAGGGGACCAAAACCAAAAGCAGTTTATACATTGGATAAGGAGCAGAGACGAGTCATTTGTCAATGGTTGAAATCTGTGCGGTTTCCTGATGGATATGCTTCGAACATCGGGAGATGTGTTGATTTGAACGAATGCAAGTTGACAGGATTAAAGAGTCATGATTGTCACATATTTATGGAAAGACTAATTCCAATAGTTTTGAAGGAACTTCTACCAAACTTTGTATGGGGCGCCATTACAGAGTTAAGTAATTTCCTCCATGATATTTGCTCAACAGTGTTAAAAGTATCACACATGGAGAAACTGGAGAGACATTCCAATTATTCTTTGCAATTTAGAAAGGATATTTCCTCCAGCGTTTTTTGATTCAATGGAGCATCTCCTAGTTCACTTGCCTTATGAGGCTAAAGTTGCAGGTCCCGTCCAATTTCGATGGATGTATCCATTTGAGAGGTAAAATTTTTTTCAAAATAAAATTCAAAATACTTTATTATATATTATGTTCTGATAAACTTCTTTCTATTGCAACAAGGTTCTTATATCATTTGAAGAAAAAAGTGAAGAATAAGGCATGTGTTGAAGCTTCAATTTGTAATGCATATATTGTGGAAGAAGTGACAACATTTGCATCATACTATTTTGAGCCGCACGTGCAGTGCAAGAGGCGGAGAGCAGGAAGAAATGATGAGGGTCCCATCGATCCCAATTGCAAATCATTCTCTATTTTCAATTATCTCGGTCAACCAAGCGGCGCATGTCAGTTTCATTGCTTAACAGGCGAAGAACGGCAGGCCGCCCATACCTATATTTTACTGAACTATCCAGAAGTGGAGCCATACTTCCAGTAAGTGTATACTTTTGCAAATATATGTATTGCGTGTCAAATATTTACTAATATTTAAATGTAAATTGTTAATAGGATTTTTCAAAATTCAATGTATGGACTACCACCAAATGAGTTCGACCGTTTGTGCGATGAACAATTTGCAGCATGGTTCAAAACATATGTAAGTTGCCTATAGACCAAAACCAAGTTATTAATATTTTATACATCATTTAAATATATATTATTGACTTTGCGTGTGTAATCTTAGGTTCACAGTAATCATGATCAAGTTGAAGAGCAAGGATTACTATATTATCTGTCATGGGGTTCACAGTCAAGCATACGAAGTTGGACAGCATATTTCATAAACGGGTACAATTTTCACACTCGAGAATATGGAATGGAAAAAGCCACAATGAATAGTGGTGTGTGTGTTCGGTCATCCAATTGTGGTAGTTCAAAAGATGATTTTTATGGCTTGTTGGATGAAATCATCGAGATAAAGTACCCCGGACCATCAATGCGGGTTGTGTTATTTAAGTGCATGTGGTTCGACCCCGTCAAAGGAACGAAGGTACATACGAAGTTTAATTTGGTTGAAATAAATCACAAGAAAAGGTATAAGAAATATGAACCATTTGTGTTGGCACAACAAGCAATTCAAGTATATTATGCATCATATCCTAGTTTGAAACGTGACAAAGCTGATTGGTGGGCTGTATGTAAAACCAAAGCACGAAGAAAAATCGAGGAACACTGGAAGGATACAGCATATCAACAAGAGGAAGTTTATAATGCGGTTCAAACTGAGGAATATAACATTCCTACTCTACGAGATCCATGTGGAGCAATGATAGATGTAGATCTAGAAGGTATTGCAGAAGCTGATTTTCAGACAGAGGATGATGATGATGATGATGATGATGATGACGACGACGATGATGACGATGATGATGACGATGATGATGACGACGATGACGACGACGATGACGATGATGCTGAACAAGAAGATTAAGATCAAGATGAAGACGAAGGTGAAGACGAAGATTTAGATTTTTGAGACTTTTTACTAATTATGTCGTAATTATTATTATTATTATTATTATTATTATGACAAAGTTTATTGTTGTTGTCATATTTATTATTGTTGTTGTTGCCGTAATTATTAGTATTGTTGTTGTTGTTGTTGTTGTTGTGGTAGTTATTATTATTATTATTATTATTGTAATTGTTGTTGAATATTATTATTGCTATTATTGTTAATGAAACGTCATTGTCCGGAAAAAAAAAAAATTACGCGAGTGTGGGATAGTAGAAATGAAATTCGTGGCTAAAATCAGTGGAAAATTTGCCACGAAATTTAGCCACGAATTTCATGAAAAAATCCCACTCACAAGGCCAAGTAATTTTTCATGAAAAGCCAAAAATTAATTTTAGGAAATTCGTGGCAAAAATCCGTGGCAATTTACCACGGATTTCGTAAATAAAGGCCGTACGCATGATTTAGGCTTTTTTTTTAGGAAATCCGTGGCAAAAATCTGTGGCAAATTTGCCACGGATTTTAGCCACGGATTTTTTTTAAAAAAAAAATTCTAATTTATTCTTTTTTAGTAAAATTCGTGGCAAAAATCCGTGGCAAATTTGCCACGGATTTTAGCCACGGAATTTTTTTTTAAAAAAAATTCTATTGTATTCTTTTTTGGGAAATCCGTGGCAAAAATCCGTGGCAAATTTGCCACGGATTTTAGCCACGGATTTTTTTTTTAAAAAAATTTCTAATTTATTCTTTTTTAGGAAATTCGTGGCTAAAATCCATGGCAAATTTGCCACGGATTTTTTTTAAAAAAAATTTCTATTGTATTCTTTTTTAGGAAATCCGTGGCAAAAATCCGTGGCAAATTTGCCACGGATTTTAGCCACGGATTTTTTTTAAAAAAAATCCTAATTTATTCTTTTTTAGGAAATTCGTGGCTAAAATCCGTGGCAAATTTGCCACGGTTTTTAGCCACGGATTTTTTTTTAAAAAAAAATTATATTGTATTCTTTTTTAGGAAATTCGTGGCTAAAATCCGTGGCAAATTTGCCACGGATTTTTGCCACGGATTTTTTTTTAAAAAAAAATTATATTGTATTCTTTTTTAGGAAAATCCGTGGCAAATTTGCCACGGATTTTTGCCACGGATTTTTTTAAAAAATTGCTATTGTATTCTTTTTAGGAAATCCGTGGCAAAAATCCGTGGCAAATTTGCCACGGATTTTAGCCACGGATTTTTTTTTAAAAAAATTCCTAATTTATTCTTTTTAGGAAATTCGTGGCTAAAATCCGTGGCAAATTTGCCACGGTTTTTAGCCACGGATTTTTTTTAAAAAAAATTCGATTGTATTCTTTTTTAGGAAATCCGTGGCAAATATTTTTTTTTTAAAAAAAATTATATTGTATTCTTTTTTAGGAAATTCGTGGCTAAAATCCGTGGCAAATTTGCCACGGATTTTTGCCACGGATTTTTTTTAAAAAAAATTGCTATTGTATTCTTTTTTAGGAAATCCGTGGCAAAAATCCGTGGCAAATTTGCCACGGATTTTAGCCACGGATTTTTTTTTTAAAAAAAAATTCCTAATTTATTCTTTTTTAGGAAATTCGTGGCTAAAATCCGTGGCAAATTTGCCATGGTTTTTAGCCACGGATTTTTTTTAAAAAAATTCGATTGTATTCTTTTTTAGGAAATCCGTGGCAAATATTTTTTTTTAAAAAAAAAATTATATTGTATTCTTTTTTAGGAAATTCGTGGCTAAAATCCGTGGCAAATTTGCCACGGATTTTTGCCACGGATTTTTTTTAAAAAAAATTTCTATTGTATTCTTTTTTAGGAAATCCGTGGCAAAAATCCGTGGCAAATTTGCCACGGATTTTAGCCACGGATTTTTTTTAAAAAAAAATTTCTAATTTATTCTTTTTTAGGAAATTCATGGCTAAAATCCATAGCAAATTTGCCACGGATTTTTTTAAAAAAAATTATATTGTATTCTTTTTTAGGAAATCCGTGGCTAAAATCCGTGGCAAATTTGCCACGGATTTAGCCACGAATTTGAAAAAGACCCCAAAATTACCGCGACAATTTTATATTTCGGTTCGAATTTGCCGCGATATAATAACAATTCGTGGCTAAAATCGTGGCAAATTAGCCACGGATTGGAAATCGTGGCTAAATCCGTGGCAAATTAGCCACGAAATAATATTCGTGGCTAATTTGCCACGATTTTAGCCACGAATCCTAAAATCGTGGCAAATTTGCCACGATTTTAGCCACGATTTTAAATCCGTGGCTAATTTCAGCGAAAATTCACCAAACGGCGTCGTCTTCATGAGCGGGTACAAATTAGGGTTCTTCTTTTCTGTTCTCACGATCGAACCTATCTCTGTCTCTGTCTCTTGTCTGTCTCTGTCTTCTCCCTCTTTCTCTGTCTCTGTTGCAGTTCTTCGGCGTTCTTCGGCGCGATTCTTGGCGTTCTTCGGCGCGATTCTTGGCATTCTTCGGCGGCGGACGCTGGGAAGCGAGGACACCCAGCGCGCGGTCTGCTTCTGTTGGGTTCTTCGGCGGCGTCTGAGAGTGTTCGGTCTGCTTCTGTTCGGTATGCTTCTGTTGGGTCTGCTTTTCGCCGTTATTTCTAGGCGTTTGCGTCTGCTTATGCTTCTGTTCAATGTATGTGTTGGGTCTACGTTTGGGTCTGCTTCTGCTCTGTGCTTCTGCTTCTATGCTTCTGCTTCTGTGCTTCTGCTTCTGCACTTCTGCTTCTGCTAAGCTTCTGTGCTTCTGCTTCGTGTTGGCCGGCCCCGAGTTGGGTGCGCGTACGTGCCCGTGTTGGCCGGCTTCGTGTTGGGTCCCTTCGCTTACGTGTTGGGTACGCTTCGTTACGCCGCCGTTACGTTCGTGGACGAAGCAGAGGTACTGTTTCGCCCACGAATTTGGTTCTATTCGTGTGCGAAACAAACCAGTTTCGTGGGCGCTTCTGTGCTTCGGCTTCTGCTTCTGTGTTGGCTTTCGTGGGCGCTTCTGTGCTTCGGCTTCTGCTTCTGTGTTGGCTTTCGTGGGCGCTTCTGTGTTGGGTGTTGTGTTGGCTTCTGTGTGTAATTATTGTTGGGTCTGTTTCGCCCACGAACAGAATCAAATTCGTGGGCGAAACAGAAACAGAACCATTCTGTTTCGCCCACGAATTTGATTCTGTTCGTGGGCGAAACAGAATGGTTCTGTTTCTGTTTCGCCCACGAATTTGATTCTGTTCGTGGGCGAAACAGACCCAATCTGTTTCGTTCGCCCATGAAACAGAACAAAACATAATCAATTTGGTCGGATTTAGGTTGAAATTTAGTTGAAATTTAGTTGAAATTCGTTTGAAATTTGGTCGAAATAAGGTGAAATGTTGTCGGAATGAGCTGAAATTTGGTCGGTCAAGTGGAAACGGCCCGCTGATCGAAATTCACCGCCCATGGCTGTGACGCAAGCCATTTTTTGGCTTTTTGGAGTCGTTTAGATGGGTTTTTTGCCAAAAATTGATTCTGGTGAATAGTGTTTTCCGCGACATTTGGGCTTTTTTTTTCGTTTCGGAGTCATTTTATCATTATCTAGGTTTGAAAACTATTTCCAAACCTTTTTTGGCCTAGGTTGAAGCTTTGGCCATCGGGGTAAAACTATTTCCGTGACATTTGCGTTTTCTGGAGTGGCTCCCTTCGAGGTAAAAATTTATTGATATATTCATTTTGAACAGAACTTAGTGATTTACTTGCATCATAAAATTTGTTGTGAAAGTGTAACTTATTAAGTTCTAAGGCTTTCAAAACATGCAATTAAATTTTAAAACAAGTCGAATTACAGAAATTAACTGAAAATTTGATGACCCTGACCAGCTAGATGAGTTCTTCCTTTTTTACCGTTGTAGGACCCGAAATTTAGCTCGTAGACATTTCCGGACAGCTTCCTTTTTTTTCAGGGGCCATCTCTCTTGCTCTCAATAACAAAATGGTAAGCTTCACGACGTACGTCATTATGTGTCCTTAATATATGTTCATAATTTTCTTTATTTTTGTCTAACCTTGCACCTTTTAGTATAAACGTGGAGGTCACATGCGTCGTGATGATGCTTCACAAAGAAGATCAGGCCTTTCCTCTTCCTCGTCCTCATCCCCATCCCTTTCCGCTTCCCCTGCCCCTGCCCTTTTATCTAACCCTCAACTAGTACATGGACACATTGGCCCTTCCTCCGACCCTCAAATGCGAACTGAATTTACTTCAGTTCCATCGCCTTCGGTTCCACCTTCTTCTTCAACGCAACACTCGAATTATGAAGAAGATACCCGCTTCATGATAGCCCCATTTGGAGATTAGTAAGTATTTCATTTTTTTAAATATATGTGAATTATTATGGATGTCAACTGAATTGTCTGTATGCTTTACGGATGCTACGTATGTTGAAATAAGTTATAACCTGTTTGCAGATTCATGGATTCTACGCGTGTTGTGAGGAGACTTAATAAAATAATCGATAACTATTGGATGGGGCAGTTTAGTAGTTGGACCACTGCTCCAAAAGAAGTAAAAGAATTGTGGTGGAATGAGTTCAAGGTAAGTTTTGTCCTTTTATTTCCTTACAAACTAAGTTCGATTTAACATACTGAGCGTACAATTATTTTTCTATTGAATGCTTGCAGCGGAAGTTCAGGTGGGATGAAGCAGAAGAGAAAGAAGTTAAAAGAATTTTTAAGAAGAAAGCCGGTGATCACATGCGAAATGTGATGAATAGAGCAAAGAGAAGACAAGAAAAGTCGGATTTTATTACAGCTGACAATTGGGCAGAAATCAAAAGAATTTGGGACACCGAAAAGCATCAGCAAATCAGTGAAATTAATAAGAAGAATCGAGCTTCTAGTTCTAGTGAAGGGTCTGCCACATATGCTGGGGGCTCTATTAATATCGGGGAGCATAGAAAAAGAATGGTAAATCTTTTAAACATGTTGTAAAGTTAAATCAATAATTACTCATTTCATTTATGTTTATATTTTGTAGGCAGATGAATTGGGGACGGAACCAACATTTATGGCTACATTTGAACGCACCTTTCAGAAAAAAGATAAGACATGGACCGGCAATCGAGCAAAAGTTATTAAGGTATGTAAGGTTATATTTTGTATTTATATATATGAAGTTTTTTTTTATTTTTATTAATATTGTTAATGTAGGACAAATATGATGAACTTGTAATGAGCACGGCTGCTGCTAGTGGTGATGGTGATGGTGATGGTGATGGTGATGGTGATAGTGCTGCTGCGTCCGAGCCATCGGTTGACAGTATGGCATTATGGATGAAGGCATCGGGTGGAATGAGAAGAGGTCAAATATTTGGGATGGGATCCTTGTCAAGGATGTACAGAATGCCGGTTGCTGCAACTTCATCCTCCAGTGCGGCTTTTTTAAGGGCACAACACGAGGAGCGAACGGACCAAGAATTGAACCGCTTGAAACAATTACTGGTACAGAAGGATGAAGAAATGAAACAGTTACTTGTACAGAAAGACGAATAAATGAAACAATTACTTGTACAGAAGGACGAAGAAATGAAAGGAGTGAACCAACGTTTGCAATTGATCATGCAACACCTCAACCTCGAAGCTAATGACGGCGGTCCTCCTGTACCTCCTACTAATCCAGTAGGCGATGGCCACAATGATGATGATAGTGAGATTCCTAATGATGATGATGATGATGATGCTGATGCTGATGCTGATGATGATGATGATCCTTGCTAGTTTAAATTTCCAAGAGGTACTTATATCTTTGTGCTTCTGCTGTTGAATAGATGTGAAAAAATTAACAGGGGTTAGGAGTTTGATATTGTGATGTTTGCGCTGCAGATGGACAGGACTTCGATTCTTGGAAATCAATAGTTTGCCGCAACAGTTTGCCACAACGTGAAAGAACTTCTTGGCAAGATCAATAGTTTGCCACAACAGTTTGCGAACTCGCTAATTTAGAACATTGTTTCATTTCTTTCTTTTTGGGGTTTGTTCTTGTCTTGACTGTGATTTTCTATCAATGTTAATCAGATTTCAAATCGAAATCGTTCCTAAACAACATTCGTCGCTAAAGTATTCATTAAAATTCGTCGCCAAATTTGTTTTCGAATAATGTCGGCCGCAATAGTCAAAATTTTTCGTGGCAAAATACTGATAAAAAAAAAAATTTCCTGGCAAATTAGCCACGAATTTTGCCACGAATAATTCCAGTGGCAAATTAGCCACGAATTTTAGCCACGAATTTTGCCACGAATAATTCCAGTGGCAAATTACCCACGAATTTAGCCACGAATTTTAGCCACGGAAAATTAGCCACGAATAAACTAGTCGAAAAAAAAAATTTATTAGCCACATGATAATTAGCAACGACTTTTTGCCATGAAAATTTTTCGTCGCAATTTGGCGACCAAAAAATAATAATAGCGACGACTTTTGCCACGAATAGATCTCGTGGAAAATTCGCCACGGATATTTGCCACGAAAAATATTCGTGGCAAATTAGCGACGGATATTGGCCACGAATATTATTCGTGGCAAATTAGCGACGGATATTTGCCACGAATATTATTCGTGGCAAATTAGCCACGAATTTTGCCACGAATATTTACCGACGAATTTTGCGACGAATTATTTTTCGTTGCAAAATTAGCCACGAATTTTGCCACGGATAATTAGCGACGAATTTTGCGACGAATTTTTTCGTCGCAAATTAGCCACGAAAATTGGAATTTTCCGTGGCAAAATTTTGCGACGGCCTATTAGCGACGAATTTTTTTCCGTCGCCAATTTCGTCGCAAATTCATTTTGCCACGAATTTTGTAGAAATTTTTTGTGGCAAAATTCGTGGCAAAACCCGGCTTTTTTTGTAGTGCACACTCAAATACTCTTTGTGTTTTCCAGCTCCTAATTACACCTAACAACTCATACAATATTTAGCCTCACATAATTTCTCACGAAACAATCTATCAATCTCACAAAAAAATTTATAAATCTTATTTAAAGATTTATTGGCTTGACCACTCATCTCTTGGGTGCAATTCACGATCGCCACCAAGCCACAAGCTCCAAGTTGGATGTCCGGCTGTCATGCCACTTGGAACACTCGCGGCACACATCGACAACGGGCTTCGATTTGTGCCCTCTTCCTTCTCAACCAAGGAGATATATGAAACAAACCCTTGTGAATAGGTATATTTATCCCACGGTGTGGGAACGGGAAGCAAAGTCCAACCGGCACATTCTTATCGGTTTCAAACTCGTGACATATTCTAATGAAATTTTTTTTTTTTGGGTCAAAATTCTAACAAAAAGTTAAAACGGCATTTTACAAATTAATTTCCTAAACCAAACGCAATCACCTTAGATTGATGAGAAATTATACATAGATGTTGGAGTCATAGTCGATCGAGATTGACCCGTTCTACAATGGATCGAGTCTTGCCAATAATATGATGGTTGTTGAAAAATCCTTCGGTCCCTTTTTCGCTAAGTACTGTCCGGAGTCGAACAACGCCTCAAGTTGACCGCAACCAGCAAAGCCATGACGCCTTTTCCCTTCTTGCTGTCCAAGCATCTCTCTACTTTATCTTCTTTCTAGTTCCATACAAATAAAGAATAAAAAATGTCTCGCCAGATGGAATTAATAAAATCAAACAACGCAAATTAAAGAATGACAAAAATGCCGCGAGAAGACGTATTTAACCAGGAGTCTTCCCCACCTCACAAACCCAACCCAAGTCATAAGCAACACAAGAAGCCTCGAGCTTCATCACCATCTTTTCCAACCACAACAATACGTTCGACGAGCGATGAAGGGAATGCCAAGAGCATAAGAGCGATGAAGGGAATTATCATCAATACGTTCGACGAGCTTGAATCACATGCACTGGGGTCCTTGGCGGGCCTCGGGGCGCCTGCAGTGTACCCCGTGGGGCCCATACTCGATATGAAGGGGGAGACTAAAGAGAAGGCTGACGGTGGCCGCCGAGGCGATGGCATCATGGAGTGGCTCGACGAGCAACCGCCTTCATCGGTGGTTTTCTTGTGCTTCGGGAGCGTGGGGAGCTTCCGTGAGAACCAGTGAAGGAAATGGCCTGTATGGAGCGGAGCGGGCACCCATTTCTCGTGGTCCCTACGGCGACCGCCACCAAAGGGCAAGATGTTTCCGAGTGATTACACGGACCCATGAGCTCTTGCCCGAGGGGTTCTTGGATCGGACGCTTGTTGGGAAAGTGATTGGGGGCCCCGCAGCTGCGATCCTGGCACACCCGGCGATTGGGGGTTCGTGTCGCACTGCGAATGGAACTCCACCCTTGAGAGCATATGGTTTGGTGTGGCAATGGCCACATGGCCCCTATACGTGGAGCAACAGTTCAATGCGTTCGAGCTGGTGGTGGAGCTGGGCCTCGCAGTGGAGATCAGGATGGACTACAGGAGGGATTTCACGATGGAGAGCGACTTTGTGGTGATGGCAGAGGAAATAGAGGGCGGAATAAGGAAGTTAATAGAGGACGTCGGTGGCGAGAGGCGGAAGAAGGTGATGTCACACCCCGAACCCCATCGAGCGCATGACACTCTTCTTGGTTGATTAATACGACATCCCAGGGTATCGCCGACCTCACTTATAATTTTCAGAGATTTTAAACAATCAGCGGAGATCACAAATACCCGAACAATTTAAAACTGGGGAGAACAGGGAGAATACACATATTCATTTCTCATTCCAACTTATACAATATTCACAATTTACAAAACCACCACATATACAAACACCCCAAACTATGAACCACCAATATACATGTGCATACCTTACTACAACCACCGATATCAAAAAGGACAAATGACCTGGATGTTCTATCCTAAAAAATGGTACACCTCCAAAAGTCCAATTTCCACCCCTACGCTAGCCCCTACGTCCTTTGCTCGGCATCCATTCCGAGTCCGCTTCTTCGTCCTCTGAACCTGAATCCCCCTGGACGGTCTGTTCCTCTGAGGACTCCGGCTCAGCCTCAATCTCAATCGGGTGATTTATGTCACCTGACTCCGCTGGGGCCTCGACCTGCTCCTCCGACTCGGTCTCCTCATCAGACCCGTACTCTAGTACAAACTCAGGGTCAATCCACTGCTCATACGAGGGAATATACACCGGTTCTTCTTCTGGCTCAGCAGGCTCGTTCTCAGGTTCCGCCTCGGGCCCCCCTCCTTCTGGTTCTTCCTCTGGGATCGGCTCAAGATCCACATCCATCGGATCGTACTCCGCTTGCGATCCTTCGGGCTCTAGTTCTTGCTCGGCCCCCGAAGACCCCGGCTCTGCTGACGCAAGATGCAGTCCTGACTGCGCTAGACTAGTCTCCAAGCTAGTCAACTCGCCATCCGGAGGTGGTATAGCAGATGGGTCCCAGTCCCCAACTCCATCAAAGGGGACGTCAAAACCTCGGACGGGACCTAACTCATCTACCCCGTCCCGGAAGAACCACGCGGTGTATGTAGGGGGCTCCCACAGGGGTAATCCTATATCTACAAATACTACAGTTGTATGCTTAATCCAGGTCGTCTGGTCATCTATAGGAAACTCGACTACATTATGCTCGGTGTGCATCGGAACTCCAAAACGTTCAGGCGGCGGCGGTGGCGGATTCATGGCTCAGGTCGGGGTCCTGAAAATATTGATTGAAACAACCATGAGATTACATCTCAGTAAGTACACCCCTAAAATCCACCTAGGCTATCACGTACCTCCAGACAATCACAAAGCACAATCACATACACCCAGTCATCACATAGCAGGCACATCAATCATTCTTACCTGGCCTATCCTGCGTGCAACCTGCACGTTAGTCATAATCACACCATATGCAATCACATGCATATTCAAATCACATTTCACGCATTCCCGCTTGCCTCGTTACATTCTTTCCCACATCACTCGCCAGTGACCCGCGTAATGGTACCGCCTCAGGTTCACTGCGACCAACTCATCACAACACTCCAGGGCCCGCGTAATGATAGCCTCAGGCCGTGTATCTCGCCCGCATAGTGGTACCGCCTCAGGCTCAACACCTACCACCTACGACACAACCCGCATAATGGTACCGCCTCAGGTTGGCTGTCCTCCGGTAATATCGGGCATCGTCCCGCGTAGTAGTACCGCCTCGGGACGAAAATATCCCCACGTAGTGATACCGCCTCAGGGATTTCTACAATCACACATGCCACGTCGTACACAATCTTTTTCTCATTTACATGCTCAACACTCACTTGCCAATCAGTTGGCCCATCACACGTGGCCCGTGCACGCAACAATTCACATACATTTTTCGTGCTCACTAAGCATTCGACATGGCCAATTTGACAATTAATTCGATCTGGCCTGAGCGTGCACACAACAAGCATTTTTAAACCAATCAATTGCACATTAATGCACTCAATTTCACCACTACAATTCAACCACATCACAAACACACCACCAACATACAAATTGGCATTTTTCCATATCCAAACTGCATCAAATCAATTCCGGCCCTTCACGATATTTTCTCGAAATTCAGAGCCGAATCTAAGTATCCAATTTACGAACCGAACCGAGCATCACAGCACTTAGATCAGCCAATCACAGTCCACTTTTGACCTCAAAATTTCCACCAAAATTCCCAATTTAATTTCTAAGGCCCGCCACATAATTCCGCTCCTTAAAATCGTATAAATCCGCGCCTAAATAAACCCGAATCCACCCTAATTTATCCTTCGTTACCCGACGTCCTAAATAGGGTTTAGAGCGCAACTTACCAAACTCTAGACTAACGCGGCTAGAGCGGAAAGCGGCGGCAATCGGCGGCGCGGCTTGAAGGCTTGGGCGGACGGCTACGGCGAGTGGCGGCGCGGCTTCCTTGGCTGCCCAACTCACGGTCACGAGGAGGGGGGAGAGGGAAAACCGAGAGGGACGGCGTGGGGGTGGCGAC